TATATTTATTTAATTTATATTTTTGTGTTATATTTTTACATTTTTATTATTTCGTGTTATCGTATCGAGTCATTTTCGATTCATGTCCGGTTCGTGCCGTGTCAACGTGTCATGTCAAAACATTTCACTAGTAAGTAAAAATATAATAATCAATTTTATATAGATTCTATTTGAGAAATACTTATTTTCTATATATTTTTCATTGTGTATTCGATTTTATTGTTATTATATTTCTTTTATATAGTTGATATTTTAATTTAATTATGATGAAATTTAAAAAATAATTATCTCAATAAATAAATAAATAAGATAGAATGTGCTTAATTATGTACATCACATTAATCAAATATATTTTTATTTGTTGTCTATATTATTGATGTCTTAATAATAATTTATATTTATTTTTTTATTTAACATAAAATTATTTATTACAAAATATTTATATTTAATTTAAATTTTATATACCATATACAATATGTATGAATAATTCAAAAAGAATATTAAAGAAAAAATAAATATTCTACATAATAAATTTATGTATTTTTTTCTTAATCCAATCACAACATATTTGTATTTAATCTTTAAATAAAATTTGTGCAGATCTATTTATGCATGTTTTTATTTTTCAAATAAATATAAAAATAAAATTAAAATTAAATAATTAGAATCACTTTTAGTTTTATATTACTAATTCTTTTTTTAATTTAACTATTATTTTTAATATCAAAATGAGTGTTTATTTTATTATCTTATAATTTAATATATATTATATAAAATCATTATATAACAATGACACTTTTATAGCACAATAGAACTAAAATTATTAAAATAAATAAATAATTTAACTAAATTTATTATACATAAGTATTCAAATAACACTTTTATAAAACGACAAGATTAAGATTATTAAAATAAATAATTAAAATTAATATTATTCGTTTGTAATACATATCATAATATAATACATCATGAGCTATAATCAAGTCATAATTCGTATATTATAGAACTTTTCATTACTTTTATTTTTTTCAAAAAAAAAATATTTTGATATAAGTGAAATTCATGATTTTTGATAAAGTTGATTAATACAATTGAGAATTTGATTTCTGGTTGAGAATATATTTTTTGTTATTATAACTTTGAAATAAATTATTTTTATGAGCCTTTTAGATTTAGTTGATTATTGTTAACAAATCTGTTTTATTTGACTTTCAATTGTTAATTTTTTTTACACATAAAGTATTAAGACTCAAATTAATTTTTTATTTTAAAAATAAATTCTCACACATCGAACGGGCGGGTCACCTACTAGTTTAACAATAAATTATTAATAAAGTACATCATAATATAATATAGATCCCAATAGACCCGGTCCTGAGATTTTCGGGGTCCAAAGCCGATAATCAACTAATAAATTTCTGGGGTTCTTCACATTTTTTTTCATTGAATGAAAAAAAAAAATTAAGGTAAAGGACAAAATATTTGTATTAAAATCACAAAAAATATATTACAATAGCTCCTCTTTGACACTCGACTAATTTTTCAATTCTTTGCTTCTTTTTCCTTTTTGCGAATCCAGACGGATAATTTCTTTTAGGAGTCATGATAAGCTGAGATCAAAATATTTTTTTAGATCAAAATTCAAAACAAAAGCACCACCACCACCACCTAACAAAACACAAATGAACTATTAAATTTAAACAAATTCTTCTTGATGATGTAGATACCAATATAATAATAGCAATTAATTGAGCAAAAGACAAAACAAATATTTAATTAATTGAATAGAAAGAAAAAAAAATACCTGTGTTGTTGCTCTGCCCCGTCGTGTGCTGCTGCTTTGCTGCTTTGTTGCTTTATTGGCTTGGGCTGCTGGTGTGCTATCAAACAAGTTGTAGGGATTAAGGGAAGACAGTAGGGTTAGAAATTCGATAGGCCTTCAAGCTGCTGTCAAAGTGGGCCTTAATTGTTAGGAATTAAGAATTGGATTAATTGTTGGGCCTTTCAAATTGTTGCTTTGTTGGGCTGTAGTGTTGGGCCTTTTAATTTTTTAATGGATTCATTTATTTTAAGTTGGTTTGGGCATTTTTTTTTTTTTTTTTGAACTTAAAACATACCTAATATATTACATTAAATTATTATAAGAAGAGCCTCTTTTTTGGAATTATTTCGAGGAGCAATAAGCCATGGCCTTGTGGGCCTATGGTCAGGGCCGGGCCTGGATCCCAAAAATAATAAGGAGAACCTCCACGCACAGGAAAGATATAAGTCTATACATTGAGAGAAAAATAAACATCCATAAAAGGAAATTATTGCTATATATATATAAACTATTAAATTTAATGTAAGTGTATATAAAATATCTAAAGTATCATTTTTTTTTTTGTTGGTTTTACCTAACGAAAATAGGCCCAGGAATTTACCTAACAAATTAAAAGATTATAATTTAAATTGACAAATTAAAGATTCAAAGTTTTTTTGTTATAAGGATCAAACTATTAATTTTATTTTTTTTGTAATTTTCTCAAATTAAAAAAAAATAAAGAAAATTATTAACAATGAAAAGAAAGAAAACAAAAAAGTAAGATCTCACGCAAATGAAGAGATTTGAACTACACACAGATGTGGAGATTCAAATTATTAATGTCTTAGTGCATAAGTTTTGGCCAATCAAATCAAACTCAATGATTTTGAAAATCTTTTTTAATATCTTATTTTCTTTCATCTTTTCAAATTGCTCCTTTCATTTAATTTTACAAATGATCTAAAAAAAAGTGATGTACAGGATCTCAACACATTAGGCAGGGGGATTACTCCGTAATTTTAGGTCTCGGTTGGCAACTGATCACTAAAATAATCAATTTTCAAACAATTTCACTCCTTCGCTCTATATCAATATCAGACATGCAAAGAGTGGGATTGTGTTCTTCCGCTCAATCATTAGGATTAATCCTTACCGCCATTTTTTGGAAATTAAGTTGGGATTTTATAAAAGGGTTTGGCTTTGGTCCAGTCCATCATCGGACTAGACTGTGCTGTTAGGCTCGTGAGGGCCTATCATGGGTCTCGTTTTGAAAATCTGAACCGTTGAATGTATAGAACTCTTCGAGTACTATATGCTTGTAAAAAATCACGTTGATCGGATATCAATAACTATGTGATCAAATCAGTTTTGTATTAAAAAAAATGGACGGTGAATAAATTAACGGTTGACAAAAAACTGAGTTAATCACATAGCTATTGATCGGATATCGATAGTTATGTAATCAAGTGTTGTTCAATCATTTTAAAATTAGGATTCATTTCTTGTCACAAATATTCAATTGTAGCATACCATATGGATTGAAAAAAAACACAAAGAAAGTAAAACTTGAATTTTTAATTTTTCGTATTTTTTTATTTTCATTAATTTTTTTAATAATTTAAATAATTTTTTTAGATTTTATATACATCTAATATAAATACGCTTAAAGATTCTAATATTTGTGATTTTTTTTAAAACAATTAACTAAATACCAAAAATATACAATAAAAATAAAATTTTAATACATTTTCATATTTTTTTGTGTATTTATTAATTTTTTAAAATATTTTTTTTATAAAATTTTATAATAGATTAAATGCATCGAAAAAGTAAAAAATTATTTATAACATTAAAAAATTCATTAAAAATAAAAATAAAAAAAAATTGATTTTTAAAAAATAATCAAAATTAAACAAGGAGTGATTGTGGTTAGTTTGCTGGTTCCTAAACAAAAGGAGATGGTGAGTGACACTTTGCAGGAATTGAGTGAAGCAGGTGCTCCGTTACAATGAATGATGTGGTTTGGACGAGTCCGGATCCTCTCCAGCCAAAACTCCCTCCTGTCCTCCGGTCAAGGGTCACGATTTGGCCACGTGGCCCTTTTAAGATCTACGGCTCAGAAAAAAAAAAAAAAAAAAAAAAAACAAATTTGAATTTCTGATTTTCGACCCAGCACAAAGCTTCCCTCCCATTCCATTTTCCCTCCTCTTCGAAGCTCTTTTTCCCTCCTTCTTCCAAGCTCTGATGATTGGCGAAGTCGACGGCAAATCAACTTGAACGATCGGCGGTGCCAGCACAAAGCTTCCCTCCCATTCCATTTTCCCTCCTCTTCGAAGCTTTTTTTCCCTCCTTCTTCCAAGCTCTGGCGATTGGCGAAGTCGACGGCAAATCAACTTGAACGATCAACGGTGAACATCGACGGTGAACCAAGCTCCGGCGAACCAGAGCTCCACTTCGTCATCAACTGAAGGTAATCTTTGTCATGGTTGGGCAACATTGTTATTAAGGAACATTAAGGAACTTCCCGTGGAGTAAAAAAACTGATTAAAAACTGATTACGTTTTTAAGGAACATTAAGGAACATTGTTATTAAGGAACATTGTTTGTCATGGCTGAGCTCTAGTGTTGTTCATTTGCTTGAATTTGTTTAAAAACTCATTACGTTTTGATAATAATCAGTGGAAACAATACAATGGGAAAAAAAGCTTAGGCTCTAGTGTTGGGTATTTGCTTGAATTTGTTTAATGCAACCATGATTCATCTAAAACTAGTTAGGTTTTGATAATAATTAATGGGAACAATACATTAACTAGTTAGGAAGGATACTAGTTAGGCTTGAATTTGTTTGCTGTCATTGTTCTGTTGTGAGTGGAACATGTCACAAGACTTCCACTATCTACTTCATTAACCTCAATAACCAAGAGAATGACTTATGTTCTGTAATCCATCTCCCTAAGTTTTTAACTCCTGAAACAACAGATTAATACAAGGAAGATATAAAAATCACCTAAACCATTGACATATTGTTGTCTATAAGTTCATTCAAGACCTGCACTTCTTTGTAATTGGAGGTAATGAAGAACAATAAAAAAAATGATTGTGGTTGAATGAAGCTATAAGTTCATTTAAGTAATGTTTCTAATTACTGTTCTCCCATTTGATTGCCTCTACTTTTCAGTTGCGTTTTTATATGGATATGGAACCTGACAATGATTGTGGTTGGAAGCCAAAAGTAGGAATGACCTTTGATTCGGAAGAAAGTGCGTACGATTTTTATAATGCATATGGAGGAAGAATGGGATTTAGCATAAGAAGGGAATATTGTAAGAAGAACAAGTTAACAAAACAAATTATTTCTAGAAATTTGGTTTGCAACAAAGAGGGATTTCGGAAGGTTGACAAGCGAGACCCATTGACAAAAACCCCTAGAGCTGAAACTAGGACTGGTTGTGAGGCCCGACTTTTTGTTAAATTGGATGTCAATAGTGGGAAATTTGTTGTGATTGATTTCAAAGAAAAACACAACCATGAACTTGTATCTCTTGATTGTGCCCATATGTTGCCATCGCAAAGAAAGATATCAGATACCCAAGCAATTGAGTTAGACTTAGCCTCAGAGTCTGGTCTTCGTTTAGGGCAGTCTTTTGAACTGATGGGTAGGGAAGCTGGAGGGAGGCAGTCTCTTGGTTTTATGAAATTAGATCAAAAAAATTACTTGAGAACCAAAAGACAAAAAAGTTTAGCATATGGGGAAGTAGGTAATGTGTTGCAATACTTTCAACAAAAATCTTTGGAGAATCCATCTTTTTTTTATGCTTTCCAATTAGACAATGAAGAGCAAATAACGAATATGTTTTGGGCCGATGCACAAATGGTCATGGATTATGCCCAATTTGGCGATGTAGTTACATTTGATACTACCTACAAGTTAAATAAAGAGCATAGGCCATTTGCATCTTTTGTGAGATTTAATCATCATAGAGAAACAGTTGTTTTTGGTGCTGCGTTGTTATATGATGAGACTGCCGAAACATTTGTATGGTTATTTCAAACTTTTTTAGAGGCTATGTCAAAAAAGGCACCAAAAACTTTGTTTACCGATCAAGATGCTGCAATGGCTAAGGCCATACCCATTGTCATGCCTGACACGAGTCACCGTTTGTGCACTTGGCACTTGATGCAAAATGCATTAAGGCATGGTAATTGTCTCTTTCAAGATAAGGGGGTGAAAGGTGTATTAAATAGATTCATGTTTGATATTGAGGATGAAAATGAATGGGAAATGAAGTGGGGGGAAATGCTTGATACATATGATGCTCATGACAATCATTGGTTGAAGTTGATTTTTGGGGTGAAGGAAAAATGGGGCTGGCCATATGTTAGATCAACATGGGCTGCGGGAATGAGTATAACACAACTTAGTGAATCTTTTAATGCTTTTTTGAAGGATTACATTTGTTTTGATTTTAATTTAAATAAATTCTTCATGCATTTTGAAAAGGTACTTTGTGAGAAGCAGTACAAGGAGTTAGAAGCTGAATATGCTTTATGCCAAAGGTTGCCAAGGGTGCGAGCGCCATTCATAATGTTGAGTCAAATGGGTAATGTGTACACTAAAAATATTTTTGAGGAGTTTCAAGATGAGTATTTTCTTTCTGTTGAATCAGACATACAAGCAATTGAATACATTGATGGTTGTAGCCTATACACAGTTGTTGATGCTATTGGGAAAAATGCAAGGAAAGTGAAAATGGAGATGGATGGCTCTTTGGCTTGTAGTTGTTCAAAGTTTGAAAGGAAAGGGATTTTGTGCAGTCACTGTTTGAAGGTTATGAGAGAAATATTGAAGTTGAAAGAGATTCCTTCACAATACATTATGAAGAGGTGGACCAAACAAGCAAGAGGAGAAGCTGTGACGGACAAGTTAGGGAATGAGATTCAAGTAGACGTCAAATTCAAACAAGCCTCACGGTATAAGACATTGATGACCGCATTTAGATCAATAGCATGTAGAGCTGCTGAAACTGAGGAAACTTATGATTTTTGTTGTTCACAACTCGCTGCATTAGGTGCAAATGTTGAAAGGAAGATAAGTGCCCATTTTTGTATCGAAAAAGAAGCAAGTATTGATGATCAACCTTAAATCTTGGAACTGAGTTCTGAAGACAACAATCATCTTGTGTAAATTCCAATAGGATTGAAGAAAAAGCATCCAACTAGTAAGGGCAAAAGAAGGATAAAAGGTCCATGTGAGCTGGCATTGCAAGCAAGCTTTAAAAAGAAGTCCCGTGCACAATTTTTGAGTTCTTCAAGACCTGTTGCTGCTCCAACAGTGAGACCTTCTCCATTATCTATTGGAGGAGACGTAAGTATTTATGAAAATGTTACTCCTCTTCATCCTCCTCTTGCTCCCCCTCCTCCTCCTCATTCCGTTGCCATGGGTGGTACAATTCCTCTTCCATTAATATATCCCACATATAATGTGAGTCAGATTTGTAGCCAAGTAATTTGTGTTTTGTCAATTAATTTTTCATTTGCATCTTGTTATGAATCGTAATATAATATGAATGAATTGTAGGCAAACAATTTGGCATATTGTGGACAACCAACATTTATGACACTACTTCAAGGTGGGTATGACATTGGGTTTGAAGATTCTCAAGGCTCACAGACAGGTTCTCGGTCAACAAATAATTTGCTGCTGCATACTGAGGTACTTTTGCTGCAGATTTGGTACTTTTGTTGCTGATTTTGTGCTGCTAAAATGCTGTTTTTGGTGCTGATTATGTGCTGCTGTAATGCTGGTTTTGGTGTTTATTTTGTCCTACTGAAGTATAGTGTTGGTGCTGTTTTTTTTTTTAGGGTTTGGATAGCCATGAAGAGTTGGAAGGCACTTCAAATTTCATACAAAGGAGATGCCTCTGAGCTGCTATATTTAACATTGATGTTGATGTTGAAGTTGAAGTATTTAATTGTGAAACTTGTTCAAACTTGTTAACTATTTAATGTTGTTGTTGATGTTCAATGGTGAAACTTGTTGGTTGATGTTCAATGGTGAAACTTGTTGAGCTGCTGTATTTTGATTGTGAAACTTGTTGAAACTTGTTAAGTATTTAATGTTGATGTTGATATTCAACGGTGAATGGTGAAACTTGTTGAAGTATGTGGGATGTGTTAATGGAGTTTATTTTGTTTTGGATATGTTGATGTTGAATGGTGAATGGTGAATGGTGAATGCTGTAGCTTTATTCAAAATCTTCGTTGAAAATCTGTCTCCAAAACTTTGTCTTAAAAAACAATGTTGAAAAAATCTTTGTTCAAAATCTGTTCACAAATCTATGTTTCAAAATCTTTGTTTAGGGCAATCTGTGCTGAAAATCTGTCTACAAAAACCTGAGTTCAAAATTTCTGTTCACAAATCTGTTTTCAAAATCTGTGTTCAAAAACTGTGCTGAAACTGTCTTCAAAAATTCTGTCTTCAGAAATTCAGGTTCACAAAAATTCTGTCTACAAATCTGTTCACAAAACTGTCTTCAAAAATTCTGTCTTCAAAAACCTGTGTTCAAAATACATAGCCAAAAACCTGCTCTGAAAATTCTGTCTTCAAAAATTCAGGTTCACAAAAATTCTGTCTACAAATATGTTGACAAAACTGTCTTCAAAAACCTGTGTTCAAAATACATAGCCAAAAACCTGTTCTGAAAATTCTGTCTTCAAAAACCTGTGTTAAAAAACTTGTGTCAAACATCTGTCATGAAAATCTATCTTACATTACAAGTCATTACAAAATCTATCATACTCATACTCATTCATTACAAAAACTGTGCTAAAAATCTGTCATACTCATACATTACAAAATACATTACAACTCAAACTCATACATTACAAGTCCACTATACATTACATGTACATTCCACATACATTACAAGTCATACTCATACTACCTTACATTACATATACATTCTACCTACAATACAAGTCATACTGACACTACCTTACATTACATACACTATTTCAAATACACTAAAATCACAACTACCAGCAACAACAAAACAAAAAAAACAAAGGCATAATTCAATTTTACACCAACTCTTTCAACCACCATTGCCAAGTCTCTATATTGTTTCCTACTCTTCATAGTCATGTCTTTGAGCTCCCCATTCACGATAATTACTTCTCTAAGAGTAGACAAGACTTCCATGCGTTCTTCATCAATATCATTCTCGACCACCTTCAAATTATGCTGCATATGTGGAGGGATCCACCACTGAAAGAAGTTGCAACCATTCGGATAATTGGAGCATACAAAATAAAGGCAATTTGGATTATCCGTTGACTGAGAAATCTTCACCACAGCTTTTTTGCCACATCGACAATTGCGGTTTTCAAATCTAACTTCATGCATGTTATCCATACTTGCATTTGTGCTTGACATTGACATTGACCTACAAAAAATTATCAAATACACAAAAATTATCAAAAAAGAGACAATAACCCCAATGGTGTTTCTACATCCAAGAAAGAGGTTCACATGCATATGTTTATCATACACAATAAAAAAGTTTTTGGCTTTACATTCACAGAAATAACAATTTTGATCAGATAATGTGGGGTTTTCGAGAAATGGTCACTCAAAGAGTGGTTTGAGACATGAAGCAATGCCCTTTTCTGATAGGATATGCTGTTGTAAGTTTTAGATAAGGGTGACTGAACTTACATAATGTTGATAAGTTGGACCTCTACTTATTCTGCTATTGATGTAAGAAATTTTGTTTACTAGCTCCCTCTGTGGTATGTTGGATTGATCTTTCAAACTAGATGAAAATTCTCATATCCATAAATCAAACTTGGGTAGACCAGTGCTAAATTGTAAACAAATATGCCATTAGATAATAGAACAATTACTGCCATGGCAGTTTGTTTTGAAGAGGAAAATACAGTTCTATATTATGCCTTTTTCCAACATACAGCAAAACCTTATCAAACTTCATTAATGCCTTAATTATTTACCAACTAAGAGAAGGATTACTTATTCATTGGCTTTGGCACTCTGTCTGCTTGACAATAATCTGGGCTATGATCAAATTTTCTTTTCTTTGTTTCTTCATGTTCTTGTTTTAATTTTTAATTTTTTTTTTGGGTTATATACATACATCCATACCTCTACTAGAACTTGAACCCTGCACCTCCCTCATTGAGGGAAGAATAAGATACTAGTCGAGCTAATAACATGTGATATGATGTGGGCTAAGGTTTACTTCCCAAAGAGGAAAGAATAATTAATGGGACTTGTGCCCTTTAGAGACATAATGGAGGCTAAAGGCACAAGCAAAGCTAGTGTGGTCCTTTTCTAACTCCTTTTTATAGGTATTAGATACCTGAATAGTTCAACAATCATTTACAATTTTGTGGCCTTTGATTAATTCTTTTAAGGAGATTTCTTAGATGGGGGAGTGGTTGTTGGAATTTTTTTATTAATGGTCAAAATTCTTATACATGGCAGCGGTTAATGCAACATTTCTTTAACATTGTTAGCCACTTCAATGTGTGATAATCTAACATATTCTGAACAACATAACTCAATTGATATATTTGGGCCTTTTGCTGCTGTCAATGCTGCCAAAGCTGTCCTATAATGGGTCATTAAGGAGCTCTGATTCAAGAACCATAATTCAAGCACTTTTTAAATTTATTCATTCAAGCACTGATTCAAATTATTTTCCTGTAGTGGGCCAGTGCTTGAAAAGTGTTGAAGATAATGTATATATTCATTCATTCCCTCTATTTTTGAAAAGTGTTCTCTATAAAATTTCTTGAAAGAACAACGATGGCAGATATGTATATGCATACATTATATATGCATATGCATTGCAAGCCCCAAATCAAAGTAAAGCCCCAAATAAAAGCCCTAATTTTTTTTCTTTCAAATCTACTTTAGTTTCTCAACCTGGTGGTCGCCGGTGAGGAATGGCAGATGGTCGGTGGTCGCCGGTGAGGAATGGTGGCTGGCGGTCCAACAACGATGGCAGATATGTATATGCATACATTATATATGCATATGCATTGCAAGCCCCAAATCAAAGTAAAGCCCCAAATAAAAGCCCTAATTTTTTTTCTTTCAAATCTACTTTAGTTTCTCAACCTGGTGGTCGCCGGTGAGGAATGGCAGATGGTCGGTGGTCGCCGGTGAGGAATGGTGGCTGGCGGTCCAACAACGATGGCAGATATGTATATGCATACATTATATATGCATATGCATTGCAAGCCCCAAATCAAAGTAAAGCCCCAAATAAAAGCCCTAATTTTTTTTCTTTCAAATCTACTTTAGTTTCTCAACCTGGTGGTCGCCGGTGAGGAATGGTAGATGGTCGGTGGTCGCCGGTGAGGAATGGTGGCTGGCGGTCCAACAACGATGGCAGATGGATGGTGTCTCCTCTCCCTCTCCGTTTCCCTCTCTCTTTTTTTTGTTTACAGATTGAAAATGAGGAGCTCTGTTTTGTGGGAAATTTCAAAAAAAAAAATTTTCCGTTGATCTGGGCCGTTCTTTTTGAGTGGGGTGACGTGGCAAGATCCAGGCCATTGACCGGAGGACCGGTTGGAAACTTTGGCTGGAGAGGATCCGAACTCGGTTTGGACTACTTTTTCATCTAAACTTGTCGCAGTGGATTACTTCAATGGCCCGTTTGTTTACAGAGATAGAATGGAAGGGATTAATAGTGAGGGGATTAATAGTGAGGAGATCGATAGTAAAGAGATTGTTAAATTATTTTTATATAAAAAAATATAAAAAATTAAACATTATATTTAAAAAAAATTCCCAATATATAAAAAATAAAAAAATTTCTAATCCCCTCACTATTTTTCTAATATCATCTCTACATCCTTCTTACCAATCCCCCTTTCTCATCCTTACTAATACCAAGGGATTACTAATCCCCTCTTTATCTCTCAAAACAAACACCCCATTCCCAATCCCCTCCTCACTACCTGTACGGGAAAGGAATAAACCTTCTCGTATAATCCTGTTGATCAAGTCTACGCTCCTCCAAACGTCGTTGCTTTATCACCTGAAAACACAAACGTGAGCTAGCCGGCTGGTGTGTGCCGGAAACCTCTCCGATGCCTAAGTCAGTAAGCTTGACAAATAGACAAAAGCTCTGTGTATTCAGAAAATAAAGTTGTGTTACCTCTCCAAAGGTGATGTTTATGAGCTTTTATAGGTTTTGTGTGGCACAATCCTAGTAGGACTTCTACTCCTCCACGGTTCTTGTTTTAATTTTTAATTTTTTTTTTGGGTTATATACATACATCCATACCTCTACTAGAACTTGAACCCTGCACCTCCCTCATTGAGGGAAGAATAAGATACTAGTCAAGCTAATAACATGTGATATGATGTGGGCTAAGGTTTACTTCCCAAAGAGGAAAGAATAATTAACGGGACTTGTGCCCTTTAGAGACATAATTGAGTAGGCCGAACTATCCTTAGTTCGGTTCTTCCTTTTGCTACACCTTATCTCGGTTCTCTCATATACAAACCATGGTGTGATCAGATCGAGCTACCGAATAGTAAGGTTCTGACCGTTCTAACCACAATACGCCATGACCGGGCTAACTCTGAGACCGGACTAACTTCAAAGTGTCTTTAGACCGGACTAACTTCAAAGTGTCTTTAGACCGGACTAACTTCAAGTCTCCTCCGGGCCAGACTAGCTTCGGGGCTCTTGGACCAGGCTAACTCTAAAGCCTTTTACTCAGCCCTTTGTATTGCGGCCCATGACGGCCCATTACCCAGCTCGGCCCAATTTTCATATAAATAACCCTCTCAATTGCCCCTTAATTCCATCTGCGCAGCATGATAGGGATTACCTGTCTATTAGCCGAGCTAAAGTTTTAAGCCTTTCCAGCCGAGCTAAAAACCCTTT